ACTACTACTACTAGGAGTAGCAGTGGCAGAAGAAGTAGCGTTACCATGCAGTAGCAGTCGTCGCAGCCGCAGTCGCAGTTCGCGTCTCGCAGTTCGCAGTCTCAGTCGCCGTCCCAGTGGCAGTGCAATCAGTAGAAGACAGAGTTGTAATCACTTTGGAGCATTAAGCGTGGTGCACAACCCTCGTCGGCCTTTGAAGCAAGCTCCGACGTGACTCTGAGAATCTCCGACTCCTCTCGCAGGCAGCGATTGAAACCCTACAGCCCTAAACAAACCAGAGCAAATTCCATTGGCCATACAAAACTCCAGAGACGATCTCACCTGCGGTGTTTCTTCGCAAACGGCTAAGGCTGGGTTCTAGTTTTCACACGGTCCAGGAGACAGCAGCCTCTCCATTCCAGATTCCAAGTCTTTGCAGCTTTAGACTGTAGGATTGGAGATGTGCCTGAAGAGCAGCCTATTGGATTAAGGGTTTAGGATTACCATCAGGCTTGTAAGGCTTGAGGATCGTCCCTTTTCCAGGTCGATGATGTGTGCAAGCGATTTCTGACAGCAACTTCGACCACACCTGGGCATCACAAACGCCGCAAGCCTGATGATCTTAACACCGTCCTCTTCGGCTTGCGGCCGAGACAGCTCCAAAAGACCTGGGGCTGAGAACAGCGACTGCTCATGCGAACGACTTCTACAAGGACCTTCAAAACTGTGAGATCAAAGCAGGCTTACTGGCTTGTTGTGTTACTGGCTTCGCGGCTTCGGTGCTCCTTCTAGCACTGGTCTCAGGGCCCTTCAGCACTTCGACCTGAGGCTCTTTGCTCTTGTGGGTTCTGGGAGGTGGCTTTGGCTTTGGGACTCTTTCCGGGCGACGTTGGGAGACCTTTTGAAGCTGAAACCGTTGCGAGCCTCAACCGCTGCCACCCTGATTTGCGAATGCGGCCCGAGGACTGAAATCGACAAGCACCGGCTGCTGCTTGGTGTGCTTCCAGAGCAAGGCATCCACCTGCCGTCTCAGAGTCTTTTACCGTTTTGTGCCACCTTGCACCCTTGGCTGCGCTTTCAAATTCCCTTGGCACCACCCTGGGCCCGCCTTCTGCTCCAGCACGCCCTGCAGGTCGTGGCCAGCCTGCGCTCTGAGACGTCGCGGTCTGTGCTTCCAGCGCTGCCTGCAAAGAGCCAAAAGGCGGAGCCTGCAAGACCTGCTGGAGGTCGCTGCTCGTGCTGCTGGCGCCTCCGTGAACTTTGGATTCCAGATGTCTAGTGCAGCGGTCACATTTGCAAGTCTCACTCGTGTGTCTTCATCTGGAGGTTGCAAGGTCTGCATGGGGTAGCTATGTGGATCCTTACAGGGAGAACCTGGAGAGCAAAAGTTTTTAGCCCTCATGTCCCAGGTCTAACTCACATGGCTGGCTTCAGGCAGGTGTCCATCCATGACTTGAGAGTGAACGCTGCGCAGCTGCGACAGGATGTCCTCTCGGTGACATCCGATTGTCTTTCCTACTTCTCTTCCACAGCTCCTACTCATGAAACAACCCGTACTCTTGCAAACGGTTGCTAACTCCCTTCTGGTTGGGCATGCTTTCGCAGGCTCCACTCCGGCGTGGCTTGCAGGCACAACTAACATGATTCGGGTGTGGGAGCTGCGAGAACCAGACTCCTGCGTGTGAGCCGAGCCATCAGCGATCATCTTCTCGTTCGTCTTGCTAGCCCGCCTGGCTGCACGTGGCTGCCCCAACCAAGCCCCAAATCGATCTTTGCTGAAGCGCCTAGCCCATGTGATGATCGTGGAAGCAGGATCAAGGGGCATTGCCTGCCTCTGTTGATTCTCCACTTCCTCCAGCTTGGACTCGACGGACGTGAACCGGGACTGGGAGCAGGACATGCTCTTGCAGATCCAGCTACATGAGGATTCCTCACTTTTCAGCTCAGATCTATGTCCACAGAGCCTGAGCCCCTGAGCCCGGAAGTCCTGTCCTGTGCTCTCACGTCCCAATCGTCCGAGCTGAGTGATGCTGGAACGAAAACTATGCATCCCGGCTGATAGGTCACCCTCCAAGCGGTTCGCAGTGGCAGCATAGGACCTTGGCGGCACGGCGCACGCAAGCTGCTACGGTCCCTTCTCCCAACTCAGAGGACGCAAGGAGCCCCGGAACGATCCTTTGAAGGACTCCTGAAGCTTCCCCCCTGAAAAATGGCAGGTCTTGCGGCTCAAGGTAGGGAAGGACCTCCGATTTGACAATGCGCTTCAGAGGATCATCCAGCCTTCCAGTTGTTGATGGTAGGTGGCAGATAGCAGATAGCAGAATTTGCTCTTGTGGCACATGAATCTTGATTCTAACTCCAGCTTTACGTTTCGGCCTAGAAGGAAGCCGATCCAAGGCCGCGGTCAGCGCAGCCACGGGTTGCACCACATCGTGCCTGGATGCACTGTGGCCGCTTATGGAAGGCATGATGCGACTTTGACTATGCCACTCCCGTGGACTCGAACCCAATGGAAACGGACAGAGAGGAGGCGAGCAGAGTAGTCACCAGGGGCCTGATTTGAGCCCGCTCGAGCTCGAATTCTTTCCGCACGCTGCTGCAGAGCTCGGCACCTCAGCATGCTGTCCCAAATTGACTTTTCTGAAGGAGACCACTCAACGCAAGTCAATCCACTCTTGGCACACACGAAAGGCCTGCCTGAAGTGCATTAATGCGTTGGCATTTTTGCCAGCTACAGCTACCTCGAACGCGGGCAGGATTCAACAAAACTACCTGCTGGAGTCTGAGCTGCAGCTTTACGACCTTTCTTGAACTGCTCCGGCCAGGCACAGAGGTTCCGAGCATTCTTGGTGAAGGCTTGATCGCAAACCCACAGGAGGTCCTCGATGCACCCAACACGTATTTCCAGGGATGCAGAAGCAGTGAAGCAGACAAACAGGTAGAGAAAACATACGACTCGGGATCGCAGCACAGGAACCTCGGGACGCCACCGATCCCCAAAGTTCGAGCCTCTGGCTCTCCGATCTTCACGTGTCGATTCCAGCTTCTCTTGCCATTTTGGTGGTATCCAAACGTCTTCGTGCAGAAGCAGCTACCCTTAAAATCCAAGATCATGCTTCCGACACTGGCAGGAGCCCCAATTGCCTGACTCTTACCAAGTGATACAGAAAAGTGCAGAGTTCAAGTCGGCACAGTCCTTGATCGACATATTATCGACGACCCCCCAACGCTTCTCTCCACCTGGCATCCCATGTTCAAGCACCGTGGGTTGCCTGAAGCCTATGACCCACGACCTGCATGGCTTTCTGAACGCTGCTATGTCATGCCCTTGCTGTTTGGCACTGGCAATTGGGCGACCCATCATGAACGGGCTCGGGCCGGAGCTGATGATAATACAGGGCCCTGTGTTCTTCGGGCGTCCTCTCTGAACGAAACGAGGGTTTCTAGTACTGGCAAGAGTCACCGGGCTTGGGTTTCGATATTTTCGGTGATCGGAAAACTCCCTAACAAGATTAATAAGAGCGCTCGCACTATACAAACTGCTTAACACGAGGAACTGAACTCAGCGAGGGACCCAAAGACCCGGGATGGAGGAGGTAGCCGCTGGTAGCCCTTGGAGCCCTTCCTTGATCCCATCGAGCCTGGTGAGGCCCTCGCCGCGCGGCCGCTCTTCGGCCGCGGCGTGGAGAAGGTGTCCTGCAGATCCGGAAATCGCTCTGGCACATAAACCTGACGGCCTCCTATCTTCAGTGATCTGCCCAGTGGGCCATCAGTAGGATTCTTTTCAAATTCTCGTGCACAGCGGCCCTTGCACATGCTTAGGATATGAACATTGCAAGTCCGTGAGTGATACAGCGCGTGGATTCTGCTTCGCGAAGAACTTCGGTCCTCGCGAACACCGTTAAAGGACCTGAGTGCAGGGTCGGGTCACGCTCGCTTCTTGCGACTCTGAGCCTTGGGTACTTGGGCCGAGTCACTCCTCATTGATCTTCGAGTAGTCCGGGAAGCTCGTAAAAGGGGGCGCTGCCACCTCCTCGGTTGGAAGAGCACGAGCTGGGCTTTCGCTTTCAAGACTTCCAAGACGAAGACTTGGAGTCTTGACTGCTCACACACCTTTGCAGGGCCCTTAGACGGCCCTCAGCACAGACGCACACCTGACAGAGTGAGCGGCACGTGGGTGGCGGCGTCAAGAAACTCAAAATTGGCCTCAAGCCTTCCAAACCCATGCCTTACTGCCCCTTAACTCAATCCTCTGTCCCGTCTGCCAAGAGTCTGCAGGCTTTACATGTGTCATCCCCCGAGGGGCGAGCTCTAAGCTACTTATTTTCTTACGGAAATGGAAAGGCCTGCGAAACAAGAGGCATGAGGTGGCTGCTGACCCCCTTGCAATACCGACGGTTCGGTCATCTGAACTGTGCCTGCGATTTGATGCTGCTTGTCTCGGCTGCAAAGTTCTCTGCAAGCCCTCCTTTGGGGCTTGAACCGCGGCTCTCAGGGCGGGCGAGCACATGCAAAACTTGAAGGCTTCTACCATCGGCCTCTCAGAAGTTGGGTAACAGGGACAAGGCATACGCAAGGCTCATCTATCGCCAACAGCAATCCAAAAGAAAACCTCCAAGGATCCATAATTTGAACGTCAACCTGGTGCCCTGCCGCCAAAGCACGTAGCCGAGGGCTGCGAGGCACCTCAGCACTGGGGCCCAGGCTGACTTGTTGAAGGAGGGAAAAAGACGAAAGCACGTGAGCTCAACATGGCTTCTTGAACAGAAATTACGAAATACCTGTGCCTGAATAGCGCTGAAACTCCGAAGCTGCTGGTATCGGGTGTGACACCATCAAAGGTTGTTCGGGAGACAGGTGCTGCACTGCAACGGGCATAAAACACCAGCACACAAGGACGCCGGAATCTGATCTCTGACGGTAGACAACTAACTTTTGCAGCACTGATGCCGGGACAAGATTCCATCTACTCCAGACCCAACATTGAAGCAGGAGCACATAAGGCAGGCGAATTCACCGCCGGCCCATCGCGCCTCCGGCTTAGGCTGACAACTCGGTTTTAGAACATGGACCGCTTACCCGTGCTTAGTTTCATCAAATGAAGCTTCGGCGTCCGCTTCAAGTACTTGCCTCGCGTCAATGCTCTGTCGGCGACTTCTCTGCATGCCCTGCAGCTATCCAAGCTTGCCTCTTCATTGCAGGTCTGATCCTGTGCAGGCAGAGCAACTCATCCATTCACAGTCGTCATATTGGGTCACAACTTCGGTTACAACAACCTGTTTTTCACAGGAGATTATACTTCTTCCGTCAACAATGAATGCGACTTGGAACTGCTGCTGCTGCTGCTGCTGCAGCTGCTGCTGCTGCTCCTGCT